CTTGCCTGGAGAGTTCCATGGACAGAGGAGCCTAGTGGGCTAGAATCCATGGGGTCGCTGAGTCAGACACGACTGAGTGACTAATGCCTTCACTTTCGTCATGCTTAAATTAGAATGTGCTGCTCAAGTTAAATATGAATGGAGGTCATCGAGATGTCTTCCTGCCTCTCCGCATCCTCATGATGAGCACTGTTCTCCACATGTGGTGGTGCATCTATGGAACTGTGAGTGAGTCTGAGGGTTTCCCAAGAAGGAAGGGAAAATGAGTACAAAAAAAAATGTTGAAAGCAGATATTTAATTATGTCCTACTTGAAGATAGACTTTACCATGAAAAAAAAAAGCCATTCTGTATAAATCCACCCTGTATTAATGTTAACTCATAGCACATTTGTGAAGTGGATGGAGTTCTCACGGTTTGTTGCTCATTTGATTTTTTTCTTGTCTTTGGTTTTAAAAGAAATGTCATAATTTTGAGAAAGTCAGAGCGAAGTACGAGTCCTCACCCCTCCGCCTTGCAGCGATGGTCCCTGACACCCTCCATCCTGCTCCTGCCAGACTCTGTGTGGGACGTGCAGCCTTACAGCCCGCCTCCTGACCCCCATGTCCCGGGGGCTCCTCCACTGTGACGTGGGGCCAACCCCGTCCCGCACTCAGCGAGGCTCTCTTGGGGGGTGGTCCCACTTCCCTGCTCCCTACTCTCTCATCTCTGGCTGCCCCAGGTGCTCTTACTTCAGATGCAGACTGTCTCAGTGCCCAGGAAGCTTGTGCGGGGCTCAGGCCTCAGAGGACACGAGCAGGAGCGCTGCCACGCAGCCGTCACGCCTCCCTTCCCTGCCCCTGCCCCACCTTCTGTAAGGACATTGTTGCCCACTGTCCCCTCTCTGCACAGCCGTGCCACACGGCCCGTCAGTGAGCATTTCACGTCCTCCCACACATCCATCTTCCCCAAACTCAGGAAAGTCTGAGCTGATGTGAATGCTCGTGAATCCCCCCACTTTTAATCCTGCAACCAAATGCCAGCTCATCCAAGAAATTTCTCCTAGTTTCCCCCAAAGAATAGATAGCATTTGGCATAAAAATACCATAGTTTCAGGCTGGTAACCCAATAGGGGAAAATCCTGGCATAAAAATGCCTTAGTTGGGAGTCACTAGTTACTTATACAAGCCGTCTTCTCGTCTGGGGATCAGGAGACAAACAGGAGAATGTTTCCATGGGAGTTGGTGGAATCAGTTGTGCTGCAGTATAGGTATCCCTCACTTTTTGAAAATTTATGTCCTAAGATAATTGCTTATTTATTTATGCCATTTCGGGTCAGGAAAGGACGCATAGGAATACCCTGCTTTTGGATAGTGGGGGCAGTCTCTCATCTCTTTTTTGCTTATTTCACCATTAATTTATACCTAGCTGCTTCATTCAGAATTCCCTGTAGCACAGTAAGACCATAGTGATACCTCAATGAAAGCGAATGCTACAATAAGAACAGACCCTAGAAATGGGAAGTAACCTTGCCACCCAGGGGTGACTCATGGTGGAGTTATTTTCGTATTGTGAAACGAAGGCCTTGTTCATGTAGTACAGCGGGGAAACCAACAGTTAAATTAGGGACTGTCTGCTCTCAGCCTGCTGATATATTTGGCATATGAGAAAGTAAATAGAACACATTGAACTTTCAGTATTATTTAAATAGTGATTGCATAATGCTGTTTTTCTTGCTAGTATGTTCTACTGTGGTCTTCCTCAAAGAAATCATTCAGTTGCACTTTTCACCTTCGCCTTCACTATTAGCAAACTTGTGAAGGCGTCACTTCAGAGTCCCAGCTGGCACCAGTAAGAGTTTTTCTCTCTAAAATATTTGGTTAATTAGGGCTTCATTTAAAACCATCACACAAGGAAGGCTTGACCGCTGCAAGACTCTCAGAGCATTCATCCGTCCATCAGCAAAGCCAGCTCTGCCCCGTGAGAGGCCAGGCCCTGGCGGAGTGAGGGGTCGGCAGCCCAAGGGCCAGCCTGCACTGTGCCCACAGCTGGCTGGAAGGTGAGGAGCCTGCGGGCATCCTGCTCTGTGCCCACGGCCGGCTGGAAGATGAGGAGCCTGTGGGCAGCCTGCTCTGTGCCCACGGCCGGCTGGAAGGTGAGGAGCCTGCGGGCAGCCTGCTCTGTGCCCACGGCCGGCTGGAAGGTGAGGAGCCTGCGGGCAGCCTGCTCTGTGCCCACGGCCGGCTGGAAGGTGAGGAGCCTGCGGGCAGTCTGCACTGTGCCCGCAGCCGTCTGGAAGGTGAGGAGCCTGCGGGCAGCCTGCACTGTGCCTGCGGCCGGCTGCAGTGGGTGAGGAGCCTGCGGGCAGCCTGCACTGCGCCCACGGCCGGCTGCAGTAGGCGAGGAGTCTGCCCGCCGGCCCGGCCTGCTGTGTGTGCTCCGAACCCAGGCTCCTGGTCCCCTTGAGTTTCTGGAGGTGCTCGGTTGGGGAGAGAAGATGGCATTTGGGCCAATTCTTCCTGAAATAATGTGAAGATTCCACTGTGTGAAGAAACAAGTAGTGGGTGATTTCCTGGTCTCACACACGAGGTGGCCCTTCTTTGAAACTCCTGAGCACTTCTCCTTCTGTAACCTCCTGAAAGCTTACCTCCCTGCCTGTCTGATGGAGACGTGGACATCCTGAAGGGTGGGCTGCGGTGGAAACGGGGCCATTTAGATGCAATGAGAAAACACGTTCTGTTCCTGCAGTTCTGGTTTGGGGTCAGGGCCTTTCTTGGTGGGGGGAGGGCTTAGTGGGTCAGGCCGGCTGTTCCTTCTGTATTATTAAATAATTAGAAGATAATTATGTTTGGCAGTTTTCAGTTGCTTCTTCTCAAAGCAGTAAAGGGATTTTATAAGAATTCAGGTAAGTGTCTTGGGAAAGCTATTTGAAACAATTAGCAGACGTGCTTTTCATCTTTGATTCTGAAATACCTTTCCCTCCAGTCTCTGCTTGGGAATTGTCTTTCAGGTTCTCTTTTTTTCTTTTTAGTAAAGGTAGAAACTTTTCATGAAGCAAATTGTGAAATGTTTGCCAATTCCTAGAGCTCAGCGAGTTTTGGAAAGGTGGTAGTCCAGCCTTCCTTTTGTGACCTATGGATTTAGCATTTCTTGTGTTCTGCCCCAGAAGGGCCACGTAAACCTCCAGTCTGTGGTCCCAGGAGGTGCTCAAGTGGGACACAGCCCATGGGTGTTAAGCTACAAGACTTTGACTTTTATGTGGGACCTGCTCTTATGTTCATGCGTTATATTTCCCATCAAAATCTATAAGTAGGCAGTTAATTGCTGTTCTAACCGGAAAATAGCACAGAAGTACATACTGGGTGTGCTGCAGGGGGTGTGGTCATTTTTTGGTGAATGCTACTACTGAGACATTATGATAGAATGCGCTCTGGCAGCATCTCTTTTGCTGGATCGGAACCCTTGTACGGCAGGGGGAGCTCAGGGCGGTGCAGCAGGGGCCCGGGGGTCAGTGTGTGGGGGGCGTTGGCGGGTTGCAGCCGCAGTGAGTTCTGGGGATGCCACTGGCTGCTCTCAACTGGCTGGAGCAGCCCCACCGAGCGGACGCCCTGCAGGTCCTGTGGGCCTGTGAGTGGGCGTGGAGCTTGGTTTCCTCGGGACTTTTCCCCGCATCTCATTCCATTAGCTTGCCGCACCTGCTGCGGGCGCCTGATAAGATTTCAAAAGAGAACTTTACTTTTCCCCCATTTCCACCTTTCTGCTTTCCAAACCCAAGATGTATTACAATTTGAGCAAATCTAAAAATCCAGTACTTAAAATTGCTAGTGTTTTTATAACATACTTCTAAAGGATATACCACATGTATTAATAACTGTTTACAAACTTTTTTTTTTACTCTATATATTTAATATTCAAAAGTGTGTACTGGAAAAAATCTGGTTTGATTCCCGAGGACAGTTCTGAGAGGTGACTTGCCTGTGTCATTAGCCATATTTTACAGATAATATGACTTACATTCACATTCATAGTAGTCAGGTGGCTTATCCAGGCGCATGCACTCAGTGGAGACAGAGGCAGGTTTGAACACTTCAGTCTTTGTAGATCTCGGGCTCTTTCTATTCGACTTCCGCACATGCCAGCTGTCCTTTATGTGTATGTCTGTCTGTACCCATCCACGTGCAGGAGTGTGCACCCCCCACACCTATAGACACACCACACACACGTCCCACTCACCCACGTCTCGGGGCAGGGCGGCGTGAAGACAGAGCGGCCTTGTGGGTGCTGTCAAGGCACATGTGGGTCCATGTCCGGGCGGTCTGCGCCCCCCAGTCTACACTCGCAGAAGCCAGGACCGTGGAGGTCTGGGAATTGCCTCGTGTGGTCCAGGCTGAGTGTGCTTCGTCCTTGGGCTTTCCGAGTCACTGCTGGGTTTATTGAGAACAGCTGCTGTGCTACTGTGGGCTGTCTTGGCCTTGCAGGCAGGATGGCAGCACTTTGGAACCTGAGGGTCACATCTTTATGGAATAGGTGCTGGTGACAAGGGCCCTTGGGAGTGGGGACTGAGCTTCACCCACCAGGGGATACATTGTGGCCAAATCCTTATTCCCACTGAGACCCTGAGGCTGAGCAGCTTGGGCTGTTTGTGTGGGTTTCATGGCAACGGCACCCCACTCCAGTACTCTTGCCTGGAGAATCCCATGGACAGAGGAGCCTGGTGGGCTGCAGTCCACGGGGTCGCTAAGGGTCGGACACGACTGAGCGACTTCACTTTCACTTTTCACTTCCACGCATTGGAGAAGGAAATGGCAACTCACTCCAGTGTTCTTGCCTGGAGAATCCCAGGGACAGAGGAGCCTGGTGGGCTGCCGTCTGTGGAGTCGCACAGAGTCAGACACGACTGAAGCGACTCAGCAGCAGCAGCAGTACTGTCTTTCAGGAACTCTCCAGGGTGGGCGCGTTGCTCTAGGGATGCAGTCCTCGTGTCTGAGGAGCAGAGAGGAAGCACGCAGACACCCAGAGGCCATGAGGGCGTCGCGGGCCCCTCGCTCCGTCGTGCCTCGTCCCCTCACGCACAGTGCAGCGGAGCCAGCGGACGCGGGGCGTGAGCGAGCCAGTGAGCGACTGAAAGGAAGGTTACCCAGTGGGTCTGGGGTAGTGCAGGGTTCGAGGGACCGTGCGGCAGGTGCACCTGAGGGACAGGAAGTGGAGGGGAAGCGCAGGTGACAGGTGTGGCCCGGTCACCTTCCCACACCACTGACTGCCCTCTGACCCCACGCTGCTGTGTCCAGGGTCAGGGGAGGATGTGTTCCCATGGTTGGTCTTGCCTTGTGTCACGAACTCTCCCCCTCACAAGGGTCCCTTGGCCATGAGGGCGTCAGGTGTGAGCTGACTTCTGGGCACATCCCACTGAATAGTGCCTGCACCCTCCTCACATTTAAAGTGAAGTCGCTCAGTCATGTCCAACTCTTTGCAACCCCATGGACTGTAGCCTACCAGGATCCTCCATCCATGGGATTCTCCAGGAAAGAGTACTGGAGTGGATTGCCATTTCCTTCTCCAGGGGATCTGGGGATCAAACCCAGGCCTCCCGCGTTGTAGGCAGACGCTTTACCATCTGAGCCACCAGGGAAGTCCCCTCACATATAAAATGCACTTTTACCTGACGCCTGTTCATGATTTGTTTCAGGCAGCATAAAGCATTTGCTTTAGGACCCAGCACACCCACCTTCTAATCCTCAGGACCTGTGGGTATTTTCAGGGCACAGCACAGTTAAGGTGGCTCATAGATGACCTGCAGGTAAGATTATCTTGGCTTTTCTGGGTGGACCTGTTATAATCCCAGGTATCCTAAGGTGGAAGAAAAAGTCAGGAGAGAGTCAGAGAGATGGAACTCAGTGATAACACTTGGCCTTGAGGGTGGAGGAGAGGTCACAGGCCAAGGAGGGAGTGGCCCTGGAGACTGCAAAAGGCAGGGAGATGGGTTCACCCCAGGAGCCTCCAGAGAGGGAGGTGACCCTGCTGATGACTCGGCTCTGGCTCAGTGAGCCCAGTGCTGGGATTCTGACCTCCAGGTCTGTAACGTGATAAATTTGTGTGGCTTTAAGCCACTTTGTTCGTGCTAATATGTTACTGCTGCCAGAAGAAACTGCTTCTTGCTCCCAGGCTGTAACTCAGGGCATCCACACAGCCCCGACTGCAGCTAGCCCTGTTCCCGGGCTGCTGGTCAAGGAGCAGAGCCCAGCTCCCTGTTGCAGTGTTAAAACAGCATGGCCTGAGCTGCAGAGATGGGCATATGAGACGTCTGTGTGGTGCACTTTGCCCGATTTCTGTTCTGTTCTCAGAAGACAAGCATCCAGATGGAGAGTTCCCAAATAACTCTTGGCCCAGAAGCAACATCTTACTGACTTAAAACAGGAAAATAACTTTGAAAGTCTCGCTGATGAACAAAAACACCTTTGTGTGTGGTACTAGCCAGGGTCAGCCACGCGCCCTGGTCATGTGGCGCACGCGTTCCCCGTGCTGGTATGAGTGTGCCTGAGATCCCTCCCTTTGGAACACAGGGAGGGTCTCAGCCTTTGGCCCAGGGCAAGTGGTGCTGCTCGCCAGGAATGGAGTGCGCTGCCGCGTGGCCTCTGTTTGCAGCCTGTGAGGTTCAGAGGTCAGTAAGGGGGCATTCCCCATGGCTGTTGGAGGCGCCTCTTCCACCTGGTGGTGCAAAAGGACTGCAGCTGGGTTCACCGTAGGTGCAGCAGTGGCAGGGTGCTTTATAGAGCGGAAAGGTGTGATTTCCTTAGAAGCGAGCTGTTCCTTTTAAAACGAGCACATTGAGGCCTGATGCATGGGAACTAAGGGTGAGAGGCGTTGGCTGCCCGGGAGGTGAGTCTGAGCCGGCACTCCAAGGCTCCTCTGGAGACTTTCGCCCTGCGGGGCTGAGTTCAGTCCCACACCCACTCTCCAGCCCCACGCCACGAGCATCGTCACTGTTGTCCCTCCTCTGCAGATGAGAACCTGGGCTCAGATGCGCACCTGGTGGGCTAATGCGAGATGCTGACCCTGGGGTTGACCCTGGGGTCCGGGGGCTGCTGGCTGAGTGGCTAGGATCCCGGTGTGCGCAGGATAGTATGTGTGGCTGGATGCCCCCAGAGCACCTCTGTGCCCCTGGCATCGCGGCACTCACGAGACTGCCCTCTGTGGCTGAGGGGAGGCCGTCATCCTGAAGAGTTTTATTTTGTTAAAATAAGTTCCCTAAGAGGGGACACCTTTTTCCTTCACTCAGAGTGACGCCCTCCACCCTCCTATTTGTGGCCAAAGCTCTAAGGGGGCAGTGTGAGGATGGTGTGTCATCAAGTTACTCAGATACTCAGGTCACAAGTGTGGACTCTACTTCTGTAAAAGCACATAGGCTCTGCTGTTGTCGAAATACTAGGAATAAAATAAAACTGAAAAGCAAAGAGTTCAGTAAGGTGAGAAATGGTTAAAATAGCCATGCAGTGGTGTTTGAAATAAAGTGAATTGTATTTGGACACGTAGGAAGTCCCCCCAGCGTTGCAGGGGGGCTGCCCGATAGGTGCCCCGTGCACGCTGATGGTCTGCGCTGACATCGCTGCAGGGTCTGGGGAGGCCCTTGGTGTGCCTGGGTCAGGTGGCAGCCAGTGGCAGGACACGCCCGCTAAATGGGGTTTTGCCCCCGTGATCTGGAGACTGTTCTCTTGGTGGGTGTTGGTCATCCAGTCCCCTGTGGCCCAGGAGACCTGGAAGGTCTCTTCCCAGACGGGAATCGCATTCTGTGGGAAGGAGAAAAGCCTTTCTCCTCCTGCCGATGGGAACCTGCTGTGTCATGAGCTGCTGCCTCTGTGCCCGTGACTTGCTGAGGGACGTCCGCAGACACGGGCGGCAGGTCGGCCCTTCTCCTGACAGTGACCTGCTGAGAGGCGTCCCTGGGCCTGGGGGTGCCTGTCTCAGCTTTTCTGGCAGCTGCTCGTGCTGGCGAGAAGCCTAATTCACCTGGGTGTACCCTGTGAATTTTTTTCTGAAAAATAACATTTCTGAGTTACTAAAGTTTCAAAGCCACTGGAAGTGAGGCTCCTGTCCAAGGTGAGTTTGAGTGAGTGCTGCTGCCCTTTCCACCCAGGAGGGCATTGTCCTGAGGCCCAGCGGGCAAGTCTCGGGGGCAGCAGGCGGGTTCCCGGTAGAGGACGCCTGTGCAGACCACATGTAGCTGCAGCCACACCCAGGATGCCTGCCAGGCCAGGGGGCACGTGGAGAGAAACAGGGCGGTCTGCAGAAGGGTGAGTGCAGACCCTCTCTGAGGTGAGCCAGGCCCACATGTGCAGGGTCAGAACCCCCACCCTGCCGTGGGAGCCCTGTGTGACGGATGTGGCCGTATGCATGTGTGGTGTCTGACGGCCCTGGCCGTGGCCATGTGCGTGAAGGAGCCTGTGACACTGTTCTCTGTGCCTGTTCTTTGGCTCCAACACAAACCCTTTCCACAGGTCATAGTTTTCCCAGCGGATTTCATGACATGTGACTTCAGTTAAGGAATAACATGGCTAAAGAAACATTTCCGGTAATATTGGGCAGTAATATTAGTCCTGGTACTTATGTGGCACTCTTTGGGAAAATAAGTATTACTATTAATAGCTGTAAAGATAATGATGTATTACTAAAGCCAAAATCAGAAATCGAATTCAATGGTATTTAGATTGTTAGAGGCATAAGCAGAAATCCAAAAACATTAAAGTGATTTCTGTTCCTATTTACAAGCCCTTTTGACCCCAAATCTCTGAGGTGGGTTGAGGGAAGACGCCTCATCTCAGGAAGCTCCGTCGGAAGCACAAAGCCGCCACGGTTGCATGTTCAGGACTGGGCCAGCCAGCGGTCCTTGCACAGCGTGGCCTGTGGGGGTCACTCTGAGGTGCTCGGCCTCGGGGAGCGAGCTCAGCCATGTGATGCTGAGGACCTGCTGAGGTGGGGGGACCCCTGGCCGGTTCAGCTCCTTGGAGGGGTGTGCTTCTTAACTTTGTGTGTTTGCGTAGCATCAAAAGCTATTCTGAATGTAACACGTAACCTACTCAGTTTCCCAAAGAAGAGAAAAAAAAATTTTCCTAAATGAAGATAGACGATATGTGTGTGTGTGACTCTTTGCGACCCCGTGGACTCATGGACTGTAGCCTTCCAGGCTCATCTCTTGATGGGATTCTCCAGGCGAGAATACTGGAGTGGGCTGCCATGCCCTCTTCAGGGGATCTTCCCGACCCAGGGGTCGAACCTGCATCTCTGCGTCTCTTACATTGGCAGGTGGATTCTTACCATTTGTACCATTTAGTTTTGTAATTCCCATTTCTTAGCATTTTTGCCCCTAATAATCTTAAACTGGAAAGCACAGGTTACTTTCGCTTCAAGCTTCCATTCTGTGTGGTTTAGAGCAACTCTTTCCCTCTTTCAGCCGTGAATCTCGGGTCATTGGCTTCACCCCCTTTGCCTCTCAGCATCTTTGTTCTTAAAGTGGGAGCAGGCTGCCCTCTCAGGGCACTGCGACCACATCTGGTGACAGGGACCCTGCACCTGTGGCACAAGGAGAAGCAGACCATCGGCATGGCTGAGCTCACTATGCACTGCTTGAGGAGGGGGTTCAGTCTGTTCTGAATTCCAGCACTGTTGATCATTCTCAGAAAATTATTGGGTGAAATCAGCTTCCTGAGGTTACTGCCGCCATTACTGCGCCATTACTGGAGGCAGCTGGATCGAACTCCCAACCTGTGAGTTGCAGAGGTGTCTTCATCACACAGATGGCATCAAACGAAATGTCACGGGAGAGTAGTTCAGTCCATATTTTAACACCCCTTCTGCTCAGGGGCTGAGTCTTCTGAAGGACAGAACTTGTTTGAGGTCACTCACTGCGCTTGCCATGACTAAGGGACGTCTGTAATAAATACATTGTGGAGAAATGTTACCGCGATGCTTTTTAGGAGAACTTTATATGAGAAGAGGCTGCTTGTGTGATTCCTCACTCTCCTTGGTGGGAGAACTCTCCATGGTGTTGGTCAGTGAATAACCTGAAGGTCAGTGCTTCTCCGTAAGCCCTGGGAGGACTCCCAGCAATACGGTGGGAGC